TGAAACTACTCTGGGGAAGAATATCCTTGTCCAGTATTAGCAAGAAAGTTGAGGACCCAGTTCAGCCCTTGGGAACAGACTCCAGGTGCTGAATTAAGGCTGGATTTGAGGCTATGAATTGCCCCCCAGAATACTGTGCTTTCTGTAACCCAGCATTGTAAACAGATGTTTACAAGGGGCATGGTGATTCCATTCTCATTCACCAAGTGTGAAATGGAAAATACTTCTTTTGGGTTCTTGAGCAACAGACCAGCATGTGGATTCAAGAGAGGATGGGTGGAGTCTTGCAGGAATTTATGAATCCATCCAACACTGGTTGGGACTACTGCCCCATCTGAAGGAAAAGGGAATGGGCAGAGGCAGTGGTGGAGGGGGAGCAATCAGAATCGTATTGAAGACTCCACTACCTTTGTTCTGTGGTTGGGAAGGATGTTTTGTTTACATTGCCACATGCAAGATCATAGGGTTTTTATTTTTATTTTTTAGGTTCTTTTCCCCTATGTGGGTGGGCAAAGGGACCTTGCATATCCTCCTGTTAGAGGATCAGCCAAATTAGGAAGGCTAGAGAGAGCAGGAGCCTTTGGGAAAAAAATCGTGTGATATTTAACTTTTCCTTCCATCATGCTTCTTTGTAAATATCCTATTTGAATGCTGTGTATTTGTACAGGAAATTGAGCAAAAAATGTATAGATCGTGATGTCTGACTGGTTCTCTGCCTTGTAAATGTGTTTTTAACCTCTGGCATTCTGTGCTTATTTAAAAAAAGGCAAAAACCTCTAACCACTTCTCTTTTGTGTATTCATGTTTAAAAAAAAGGTCAAAATACTTAACTATAATGGAAATCAAATTTAAAAGTAAAAAAAAAAATTTGTACAAGTGTCCTAAAGGTATTTCATTGTATATATTGTGATAGCATGTTTCTGGAACCAACAAATAAGTGATGTGAATTTTAGATGTAAATATTTGCTGTTTGTTTTGGGGTTTTTTCCTTTCCCTTCCCCATTCACTCGACTGCTGTGATGTGGAATTAAAGATTAATACCTGATATTAAAATGTTGGGTGGATGTATAGTCATTGTGGTCCTGCTGAGAGGCTTGACCAGCTGCTCCTCCTGGTGTTCACAGGATCTCTCTCTGCTAGAAAAAAACAGATGGTGCACATTTCAGTCCTGTTACCTTGGCCCAACTTCACTCTCCAGATGATATTACATAAATGTTTTAGTGCATGCCAAGGAAACCAGCAATATCTCAGCATTTTGAAGAAAAGGAACTACTGAATGCATAGAGGCATCTGGAGGACCTTGAGTGCATTATGAATCAAGAGGGAACTGTTTCCAAAGCTGTGCTCAGACTGGCTGATAGTTGTCTGAACTGTTTGGAATGTCTTTTTATTTTAACACTTAAATTGGTTAGAGCAGAGGTGTCAGATACACAATACAGCGCACAAGCCAAATTCAACGGCCAAAATATCTTCAAGCACCTGATGCAACTGGATTGTGTGTTATACAAACTAAGTAAAATTCACATGTAGTTTTGAGGAAAAGCTTCTGAATGTGCAGTGAGTGTTACTGATGTTGTGCTGTCTGCCCAAATGTCTGGACAGTCTGGAACATTAATCTCATTGTCTCCCATTAATCTCATGGAGTGCCATCTTTAAAAGCCAGCCTGTGATATACTTTAATTGTCAACATTCATTGCTGAACAAGTTAATGAAAAACAAGTAAGTAGGAGGAAGGAAAGGAAACAAAAGGCAGAAATACTGGTGGTGGATGGGGAAAGTGTATTTTTTCACTAAGGATGCTGACTATGGCAGTAAGACACTGGACAGGTAATACATGACAGTAATTAAAAGTTCAGTTACTAAATAAATGTCACCTGGGCCTTTGTGGGGCTGGTTGAGCCTTTAAGGTCACTGCTGTTCTTGGCTGCACTGGAGGTGTCTTGGTTTTAGGCTGTCTCTCAAAGGATATGGAAAGCAGCATGTGACCCCAGGTGTTTTTGTATGTTTTAAGTGGGGAATAAATATTTTATTTCAAATAGCATTTGGTAGCAGGCGGTGATTTTGGGCATAGATCCAACTACTTTATTTGAATTAAGAGATTTACTATTCTGCAGTTTTGTGTGTTAATTACCACACTGTGCACTCTTCCTAGGATCTAGAATAAAATAGTTCTTCCTGCTAATAACACTAGGACTATTTTTCTCATTCTGCAAAGACACAAACCAAGGCACAGCAAGGTGAAATATTTCTCTGACTGTTAGATATCAAAGGTGGAACAGGAAAAAATCTGGGAATCCAAACTTGCAGACTGACAGAGAATAAAAAATACTGATTTAAGCAATGATTTAACAATAATCAATACTAGTTATTTAAATGCTGCAGTAAAACAAACAATTAATTGAGCTGAATAAAGTAACGACTGTCTGCTGAGGGTTTCAAGAAAGACTGATTATGCCCCCATTATTATAAAAATAATAATATACATCAAGAAATGTACAGGAAATGCACAGAATATACAGGAAAAGGGGCCTTTGTACTTAAGGGGTGGGAAGTCATGTGATGGTCTAAATAAAGTTTCACCATGCATCCAAAACTTGGTAATGCTAATATAACTGCACACTATACCTATCTTAACATTTAGGTCACAAATCACATGGGAGCACATCTACAAGCAGCCACATGAAATCACATGAACTACTCTTGTATCTACGCTCCTTTCTCATCTTACTGTGCTTTGTAATTTTTGAGCACAACACTAAGATGTCTCCCAAGTTCCCTTGCACTATGTGCAGCAGAGCTCTTCAAGGGACTGGTGTGCAGACTACTTGTCTCTCGTTCAGAGCATGTCTCTACAGGCAGTAAAGAGAGGACGGGGGAGGATAAAGGATGGGAAACAGGACCAGGGATTTCATTGTAGGATTGCTGCTGGCAGAGTCCTGAGGCCCACACTCCCAGGTCAGTTCCAAACATACCACAGAAAAGGGCAGGCTAGAAGGTGACTAGAGCTGGTATTGATTTCGTACCTGGACATTCAGCAGAGCTTCTAGGGCCACAATGGCCAAACTGTAGCTCGAGAGCTGCATGCAACTTGCTGGCACTGTACTTGTGGCTCTCGTCCTGGCCCTCTTGGACGGCCAGCTCAGGCGCCAGGCTGCCAGGGTGGGGGCTGCAGCGGCATCGCATACCCAGGGGTGTGTTCCCCCACAGGGAAAGCCAGAGCGGCCCAACACTCAGCATCTCCCTCCCCAACCTCTGCTCTCTCACTAAATCGCTCAGCACCCCCCTCCCCGCCCTCTTTCACTGGGTCACTCAGCACCCTCGCTGCCCCGCCACCCCCCAGCTCTTGAACTTCATGTGGAGGATCGAATGTGGCTCCCAGGGTGACTCTGGCCACCCCTGTGCTAGGGTCTGGCTGGACTGCTGCAGGGGGCTGAACTTAAGGGCTTAGCATAAAAGCTTGCAGGTATGGACTTGTGGACTCTTGAGATCAACCCCCCCAGTACAGTACCGCTTAATTAATACTGTTGTTTCTGCATCCATGTGAGATGGTGATCCTCAGTACCCTCCCTGTTGATCACATTGCCTAATCCTGCAAGGAGCTGAGCATCTCCTGTCAGTTTAAGATGGCTGCTGAACACTTTGCTTGCACTGTGTGGGGCTCAGAGAAGAGCTGAAATGCCAATATGAATATTTGTTCTTTACCTTCCAGGTGCCTTGCACAGCCAAAATAAGGGCCTCAATTGTAACCAGCTCCTGGCAAGGGTGAGGGAAGACAGAAACCAGTAGGACCAACAGTAAAGCACCTCTGAAGAGAGAGGAAACCGCACTCCTGTTGCCTTCAGAAGCTGCTTTACAAAGAGGGAGGCACATTCCCCTATCCGAGGAGCAAAAGAAGCTGAAAAGCAGCATTGGAGAGTAATGACTCCCTCCTCTCGCTGTTGCCTGCAGCGTGTCTGTCCCCTAGCAGTGGGTCAGGCCCACAGAAACCTGGGAGGCCTCCGGGGAGACACGGCGCTGGGCTGCGCATCATGCCTGCTCCGGGGTAGATATAACATGCTTTGCTACAGGAGGGAGCGGGGGGCCTGGTCGCGCCCTGCGTTGTCCCCCACTCGCCCCCGTCGCAAACCTGCCACCGCGGGGCACGTGCTGGGGCCCGGCCCCGCCGGCTGCCATCCACCACGGACCGAACCCCTTGGAGGGCAGCTACTGAGCACAGGAGTGAGGGTAGGGTGACCACGCTTTCAAAAGCGGAAGGCGGGGCACACGCTTCCACAGCTAGAGG